CAGACCCTCTTCCCCCTGCATGTCTCTGATTTCCTGGTTTGGCACAGAAAATCCCTGTCAAAAGGGGAAAGGCACCTTTAAAGGTTAGGTAATGGAACCACACAGGCTTCTGCCTTGACGTCTCCAATGTAACCAATGAGGATTCAGCCCTCTGAATAGGTGGTAAGGCCATGTACAAGTAGAGAAGACGTTAGTAGATCAAACTGCTCGTGTAGACCCCAGCTACCTGAGGGCCAGGTCTGGGTTAAGAGAGAAGGCAGGTCACTGAAACAGGAGGAGGGGGTGGGGTGGGAGTCCTCTGTCTGATGTGGAGGGAACGCAGGAGAGAGGTGCCAGGAAGGAGAGTACCTTTGAGAACGTGGGGGAGTGAATGAAGCCTCTGATAGGGAAATGAGTGGACTCTGCAGGCAAATGTCTATTTCATGATTTTTCCTGGCACAGACCCAAACTATAGTTAAATGACATGTATGTATTGAATAAAACGATTGGCATTTCGGTCGTGCTTGAAATTTGCATTTGTATTGAAGAATTAAGATTTTTGCTAAAAGTAAGCGACGAAAGCAGAGCTAAACGTTGTGTCTCCATTGAGAAGACTGTTGGACCCACACCAGCCTAATGCAAGTGACAGTTTTGCCTCCTGGCTTTGGCCTGCACGTGCTTCTCCTTACTAGGTAAGAAGCAGAGGCCTGCAGTTAAGGGCAGGATCACATCTGTAGATGCTGTGACTGTCTTGGATTAGACCGTTCTCACCCCAGGAGCCCGTCTCGCACAGGGGCTCAGCCCTTGGTTCTCGAGAGGCTGGAGGTCAGCGAAGGGCCAGAGACCTTTTTAAGAATCCAGTGGGAGCTATGGACTCCCTATTCAGAAAAATGCCCAGACTCACAATTTTTGCATAACATTTCAAGGATGGGGGTGGATAATTAAGGGACGTCCCTGAGGCCCAAGTCAAGAACCCTTGCTCTGGGCACAGGTCACTGCTGGGTCCCCGTGAAATGTCCCTAAACCTCAGCCTGACCATGAAACTGTCTTCCTGCCCATCGAGTTTTCGCTTGTCATTCCGCTCATTTGCTAAGAGGCCCAGTTGCTTGGCTTCCGTAGCACCGTATGCCCTGAGGTGTTTGTGTGGTAGAAATATTGAGACGTAATTTCTGTTTTTATTGAAATCCTCATTTTTCCAAAGCCTGCTTCTCTCTAAAACATAATTGAATTCCATTTTATCTTTAAGTTTGCATACATTTTTGTGGCTGGGCTGGCTTATTTGTAAAAATCTCTGGGGGAGGAGGGATCTGAAGATTCTTCTGCTTAAGTCTTTTATATTCTTTCAGCATTACAAAACCATTTCTCATGTTTGTATTTCTTCACAGATGGAGGAACACTGTTCTGTCATCTTTGATGCCCTTGAGACAGACGTTACTGTTTTCTTTTGTTTTGTTTTGGTTTTGAGATGGGGTTTCGCTCTGTTACCCAGGCTGCAGTGCAGTGGCGCAGTTTCGGTTCACTGCAACCTCTGCCTCGTGGGTTCAAGTGATTCTTCTGCCTTAGCCTTCCTAGTAGCTAGGACTACAGGCATGCGCCACCACGCACCACGCGCAGCTGATTTTTGTATTTTTAGTAGAGACAGGGTTTCACCATATTGGCCAGGCTGGTCTTGAACTCCTGACCTCGTGATCTGCCCACCTCAGCCTCCCACAGTGCTGGGATTACAGGCATGAGCCACCGTGCCCAGTCCGAGACAGTTGTTAATGTTTTATAAGTGAAAATCCGCAGAGATTCAGGGTGGAGGGTGGGCGTGCAGGGACCCCAGGAGACAGGTAGGACTTTCTTTTTAAGAGAAGAGGGGTGAGAGTGTGGATAAGCATGGGGACCTGACTGTGGCAAACAGCACTTAGAAAGGGTGATAATTATCAGTGTCTTTGAATTCCACATCAGAGTAGTGGAATCAACAAACCCTTGGCCCTAAAAGGGAAGGAGGTTTTGTATCTTTAAAACTCCATCAAGACCTGTCTCTTCAAACGGATTCCAAGCAGTGCTTGCTGATGTGGGTGCTTTGTGGACGCCAGTAGATTGGTATTTACGTTGCCATGGACCTCTTTCAGCCAGAGTTCACCTGTTGATTATGCTTACCTTTCCATCCATGTATCCCCAGGTTGGACCGAGATGGGGGCAGGGGGTGGTCTTCTTTTTGTACAGATGGAGTGAGCTGCAGTGTGGGTGAAATGAAAGCGTCGTCTAAGATGTCTACTGTCAACATGGTGTACGAAACCGGCTTCACTCTGATTATTTACTTGAGGCTGGGTAGGAGAATTGTTTACAGATCCCATTGGGAGAGAAAGGGCAAGTTCTCAGAGGCTGTGGGAGACAACAGTGCTAGGTCCTTGTTGAAGGTTAGGGCATGGCTTGGTCTGGATTTGTGCCACCAAGGGGAAGTGTGCCAGGCTCCCATGGCCATTCTTCCCTCGGCGGGACTTCAGGGCCACCAGTCACCCTGGATGACTCAGCTTCTGGGGCTCCTTCGCCTGCCTTAATTTCCTCTGCTGGAGCCAGTGTCTTTGAGAGGGACCATCAGACACAGAGGACGCGCGCTGTTGATTTACAGTGGGAAACACTGAGGGGTTTGTGTTCATGTTCGTCTGTGGACGTAGTACCATGCGCTGACTTTCTGGCTACTGGAAGTCAGGGACAAGCTAGGTTTAATTTTCGAGGCAGGCAGACAGCAGGAGGAGGTGTGGTCCCTGAAGGTCTGTAAACACAGCACACTGAGTGCAGCAGTGAGTGGGAAAGGTGAGGATTTTTCCTGTACTGGCTTTTGAGCAAATAGGAAATCACAGCTTTGGAAGAGTGAATCATTCTTTGTTTCACGAAGTTTGTGGCAGCCTCACTGGAGCAGTTGATTTTAGTATGCCGTCCAGTCTTTGTAAGAACAGCTAATTTCAAGCAGAAAAAAATTGCCCGCCAAATGGAGCTACCTCTCCTGTTGAGATGTTTAAGGACTTTGTACCCTACTCCACCTGTTGGGTACACGGTGGTGGTTGGATTTCACTTATTTTTGGTCCTTTTTCTTCCCAAAGTAGAATGCCCAGGCACTGCCCTCTTCTCCCCCAGCTGGTGCTGTGGTGAGAGGAATTCTGCCAATACCAGGTCACTGCAGAGGAAGTCGCAGCTGTGGTACCTTTGCCATCGGGAGGGATTTGCATCTGAGCTCTCTGACTTCCGTAGCGTAGACTGGAAATGCAAGCTCACCGGGAGCTGAGACAGCCACCCACTTTAAAACTGACCTGAGATCCGGAAGAGGTGAAAGGGAGCAGAGCGAGGAGGACAGGCCAGCGGAAGGGAGGCCCTGCTAATCTCCGCATTAGCCATTCAGACTCGCAGCAGCGGTGGCGGTGGCGCTGGCCGCAGCAGCTGTCACGCAGCAGCAGGGGGTGTCATGAGGTGGAGCTGGAGAAGAGCCCCAGGGCCACTGGCTGTAAGTGCTGGGATCCTGCGCCCCTCTACCCTCAACTTCCCAGTGTAGAATCAGGGTAGCTCACAGCTCAGAGACTTCCCTCTGGCTCCTCTTCTCAGGGTTAGCCCAGGTAAGGAGTCCTCAATTATTTCAGCATCATCTAGCAAAGCAACTTGCTAATGATGTCAGAGAACACCCGTTACGAGATGGCTGGAGAACTGGGCACATAACGAAAGAAAACTTAGCTCTTGGCTGGGGGAGTATCGTCTGGGCTTCACTGAGACCCTCCCAACCGTTTCTTTAGAATCGGGGTGATTTAGAGCTGATTGAGAACACCTCAGGAGTATGTCTATGGAAAATGTCTATTTATATTGAAGTTTTGAAAATGCCTACCCCAGGAGGGAAGGAGCACCATTATTTCCTCTCTTTGGAATGTCGGTAAGAAGTAGTCAGTGTGGGTATGTCAAGGCCAGGCAGTTTTAAACACATTGACCACTAAAATAAACTTTGTGTGTTACAGAGCCTGTAGATTTAAGATGATTCTGTCTAACGGGGTTAGTAAATCATTCAATTTTTGCATGGACGTTTGGGCAAGTCTGTATCCTTTCCTGTTTAATACCTTTGAGCTTCTGAATTTCTGTATATTATGTCTGACCTGTGGATAATTGGAAAGAAATGTATAATGTCCTGTGCAGAGTGCTTTTGCTTACATGTAAGCAAGCGTCATAAGAACACAGGTAAATGTGGAGTGTGGAATGTGGACACTTCTTTCAATAGAACTCTGAGGGCAAGTTTATCTCGTAGCCAGAGTTCTTATACTTGCATATTGGAAAATTTTATGTGCAGCAATCCCCTTGCACAGTTTCTTAAGTTGCCTGTTTCCTATGTAATGTGAAAAATTGGAATCGAGTGATTGAATGAATAAACTTGCATCGAGGAAAGCAGGGTTTGTCGGCCACCATGAATCCCAGAGTCTTAGAAAGTTTCGGGAGTTTTGCCTTCAGTTTTCGTTTGTTGTCTTCCTCCCTAAATTAATGCCAGTTCTCAGCCTTTTCTTACACTTGCTAGAGGGATCCTAATTGATTTGGATAGTAGTCTTAGAGCACGTTTTTCCATGAATAATTTTAGTCAGTCCCTGAGTAACCCAAATTTTACTTATAAACAGAAAAATTGATATTAGCTGTGAAGTGTTCTAGGTTGTGCAAGTTAATGGGAGTTTAACTTATCAACTCCTTCTTGGTAATAGGCAAAATGAAGGGGATCATACCCATGTACTACTGCAGTTAGTTTCTTGAAGAGCTGTTTGGTCAGGGAAGTCCTTAGTTTCACTAATCGGGAATGACGGGAGAGCTGAAAGGGGGTACGCAGTGTCCAAGGCACAGGGCCGATCCCAGGGGACTCATCTGCCCCGTGGCCAATGGGACTGGGTCACAGAGGAGCCCTGCCTGGGACGAGATTGGCTTCCTTCTGTCATTGTGAAGCATGTGAATTCATACACTGTATTTCCATCTTCTGCTGGACCAGCTGGTGATTTTTATTGATGATTTCATTTTAGCCAAACTCAGGCTCTGAACTGGTTTTGTCTGAAGATGAAAAAAGTGACAATGAAGATAAGGAAGAGACGGAATTGGGCGTCATGGAGGATCAGCGTAGTATCATTCTTCATCTCATTTCACAACTCAAACTCGGAATGGATTTGACCAAGGTAGGTCAGCGTGTTCGCAGGTTTGTGGCCAGTTGTTGGGGTTCTGTCTCTATCCACAAGCCATCTCTGCGCACGTTCTTTTCGTTGTGGTGAGATTGGAGAGTAGAGTGGGGGAAAGGCCAGCATTTCAAGTATGGATATTCCAGGCATCATTTGAACAGACGTTTGTACATAAATGCTCATCCTCAGGGCTGGACCGCCTGGCCTTTGATCCTCTGGAAGAGCTGCTAGTCTACAAGGGCAGGGAAAACATCAGAAAAAGCACATGTGATGATAAGGAAAATTCAAGCTTCTGTTTCTTTGTTTCTTGCTGTGTTCTAGAGATAATTGTAGGTGGCCTACAGAGATGGCTGTGACACAGTGGCCGTAGAGAGGAAAGATGGGGAAGGGAAATGGTGGAGCCAGGAGCGAGGCCACTGTGTACACCCAGCCTCATGACCTGCTAAGGGCTGTCCTTGGCTGTGACAGCTGGTCCCCAAGGGCAACCTTGTTGGTGGTCCAAATCTCATTGCCATGGGTGGAAGCGGAATCAGCTCTTCTTGGTGCTGAGTGCAGGCAGGACACCCCCTGAGGAACCTCACCAAGAGAACCAGTGTCCTGACCACTGATGTCGTGGAGAGAGTCCCACATACATCACCCCTCACCCTCTAGTCTGTAGCTTCCTTCTGGAGGCAAGCAGGAAAGTTTGTGTGGTGTCCTTGGGTCATTGTCAGGTGGTAGAAAGAGCCTAGAGTTTCCTCGGTTCCACTCCCAGCTAGTGACTCCAGTCACTAGCCTTCCTGGCACGGTGGCATGAGAATCACAGGAGGGGTGCAGCGGACCTAACCCGGGCTGAGCTCCTAGCAAGTGTGTCACCCTCTTATCCTTGCAAAATGCTATGTTATGTGGTTTGACTGTGTGGTAGGGTGGAAGTTCTGATTCTGAAGGCCAGCTAGAAAAATGTGGATGTACTTGAAATGGTCAGAGCCACTGAAGGCCCCGCCTGGGGAACAGCCCTCAGGGCAACTGGCTTGGTTGGCCACAGTGAAGGGTCTGGATTCCACAGTCTCATCTCGGACTGGGCCGAGGGCCAGGGAAGAGAGAGGGAAGTGGCAGGAGTGTGAGGGATTCCTTGAGGAGGAAGATGACAGAACAGAGTAACTAACCATTTACAGAAGATAGGAGAGAGGCTGAGGAGATGGGAGCCTCTAAGGTCACAGACACATCTTTTCTTTGAAATGTTTTCATGGGTTTGAATGTGAGTGTGTCTGATATTCTGGGAGACCACGCCACTTTAAACAGAACAGTGGGCCCACACTGAAGACGCCTGACGTAGAAAACTCCCCCTTCGCCATCCTCTGCCTTCCATGTGGCTGCTTCTGCTTGCACGCCAGGCTGTGATGGCCTGTTCTCCATGCTGCTGCCTTCCCTTCGTTTCATGGAAAATGCTTATTGTTTTTCAGCTAGAGGAGTCACTTAAATGCTTGGCTTTAAAAAGATGCCCGTGTTTTCTTCTTGTGGGTTGTGTAGACACTCAGGGCTTGAGTTAAAGTTTGATGAAGTGTGGATGATAATGCGTACAAGCACAATCTCAAATCACAGTGTTTCCAAACTGGGTCATGAACCATCGGTGGGTTGTGAAACCAGTTTAGTGGGGGTTAGGCCATCCTTTCTCAAAAATGAAATAATACAGTAGAAAACATCAGAGCATTCTGTGCACGAAACCTAGGTCTTTGGATACATGTGTACTGGGTCACAATGTAAAATAAATTCCCATTGTGGATTTTTGTTTAATGTTTACAAAACTCAGACCTAGAATCATGAATGACAGAGGAAAGAGATTGTAAGAGAAATTGAAATTGCCAAGGTCAGATATGGAGAAGCAAGAAAATGCTGAGGGGACCATATTATGGCAAGCTGAGTATCTGAGCGACTTCATGCTATTCCTGTCTTGCTCTAAAATAAAGAAATCATCACAACTGTGCATTTCTTATGTCTTAGTGTTTTATTAGCATGTGATCGTTTTGCATTTCTAGAGCCCCAGCCTCTTCCTGAAAGAGCAAACATTGCATTTCTCCCAATACTCAGCTGAGTACCTGAAAGCATAACTTTTCCTGTCTATAGTTTATTAAGTTATTTTCCTGGGAAGAATCTGTCATTCAAAAACCAAAGGAAGGCTTGGAAGGCTGAAATACTTGTGAGAGACAGAGGTAGACCTGTTACTATCTTATGAGATTTCTTGGCTTCTGTTGCCCTGCATTATAAAAAGGTTGATGACATTTCTTCTCTCCTTACTGTCCCTTTTTTCTTCTTGGCCTTTGTCCATGTCGTTAAGTTAAGCCTGTACTAATGAAAGAACTTAGCCAGAATGGGGTATCTGATAATCGGGCACGCTGGAGATAGAATGTTCTTCACCTCAAGGATGAAGGGTCTAGTCTTTCTCCAAAAACAAGTATACTTCCGTGTCCCTGAGGATGTGCCGGCGTTGACACATTTGCATGTCACAGAGCCCAGCGGGTAATGTAGTGCTGCTGTGTCTTGCCTTGGTTCGCTGTGATTACCAGACCAGCCAGGTCTGTGGGTGTTTGACTTGTGAGGTTGATCAGCACCCCGTGCTCAGAAGGGCTCTCCATGCTTGGTTTAATGCCCTGCTATCACTGTCTTGAAATTCTTACTTTTCAAACAAGCGGACTTGTGTTTTCACTTTCCACTGGGCCCCACACAGCGTGTAGCTGGTCCTGTCTCCAGAAGCACCCTTGTCGACTCTCTTTCCTCAGGGTGGCACCATAACCCTAAGTTACTGGTGACTACTCCCGCTGGAGAGCCCACTGTTTTTCCACACTCTGTGGGTAGCCTAGAAAAGGAGAGGATGGAGGAGCCACAGTGAGGTGGGGGGTCGCCGAAGGTCTGGAGCAGGCGTCCCCAAACTGCGACCCCCTGAGGCCATTTATCCGGCCCCCCGCCGCACTTGAGGAAGGGGCACCTCTTTAATTGGTGGTCAGTGAGAGGAGCACAGTATGTGGCGGCCCTCCAACGGTCTGAGGGACAGTGAACTGGCCCCCTGTGTAAAAAGTTTGGGGATTCCTGGTCTGGAGTGTTGTGCATGCTGGTGAGAGGCTCCGCTGAACCTGGAGTGGGCATTAGGGTCAGGTCCTGCAGAGCCTGTGGGCCATGTGAAAGGGACAGACTCGATCCTGAGGGCTGTGGGAAGCCTTGGAAGGCTTGGGCAAATGAGCAGCATCATGTGGTCAGGAGATCCTGACACGACTGTTGCGCCAAGTTCTATGCTCCAGGGAGAAGGGCCCACAAAATCCAATACTGAGCTTGGAGGTGTAGGACCATTTTTACCTAGTTTTCAGGTGTGTGAAAGGCAACAATTTGTAACATGTTCACTTATGTAACATATGTTTATTGAACACTGCACATGCCAGATACGGTTTTAGACACTGAGAGTGGAACAGAACATTCACAGTCTGTGCCCTGATGGGGCCTGAGTGATGACGGAAGAAAACAGACAAGAAACAAGCGAGAGAGAGGGAAGGAGGCGGGGAAAAGGAAAGGAGATGGAGATGAAGTATAATGAAGAGAAATAGAGCAGGTCAGGGAGAGTGGCTGGGGGTGGGATGGGGGTGGGATGTGTCCTCTTAGGTAAACTGGTCAGGGTAGGATTCTGCTAGGTAACATTTGGATGGACACCAGATCTGAATGAGGGAGCCAGCCATGTAAGAGTGTTCTGGCCAGAAAGGATTGGGGTGAAAAAGGCTCAAGATGGAGCTTGTTTGGCTTTTGGGGATGAGCAGAGAGGCCAGTGTGGCTGGATCAGAGTGAACTGGGTCAGACTGGCAGGAGAGAAGTCGGTGAGACAGTGAGTCATAAGACCTTTTAGAATATTGTGAGGGCTCAGGAGGTTGTTTTCAGTGATATGGGTGGCCACTGGAGGGTTTTGACCAAGGGAATATGTGACCTTACTTGTAGTTTTGTTTTATTTTTATTTTATATTTTCGAGATGGAGTCTCACTCTGTCACCCAGGCCGGAGTACAATCGTGTGATCTTGGCTCACTGCAACCACCGCCTCCTGGGTTCAAGCGATTCTCCTGCCTCAGCCTCCCGAGTAGCTGGGATCACAGGTGTGTGCCACCAGGCCCAGCTAATTTTTTTATATTTTTAAGTTTAGACGGGGTTTTACCATGTTGCCCAGGCTGCTCTTGAACCCCTGACTTCAAGTGATCCACCCGCCTCAGCCTCCCAAAGTACTAGGATTACAGATGTGAGCCACCAAGCCTGCTTACTTATATTTTTGAAGGGCAATTTTGACTCTGCTGTGAAAAGTAGACTGCTGCGCGGTGACTGGGATGTAAACAGCAGGGGTCAGGGTAGAAGAGAGGAGGGGCTACTGTAGTAACTCAGGTGAGGTGCTGGTGGCACAGTGCTAGTGGCTGATTCTGGACGTGCTTAGAAGAGATTGCCAACGGGATTTGTGAATGATGTGCAATGTGAGAGAAAGAGAGGAATAAAAGATGACTCTAAAGTTTTGACCTGAACAGCTAGAATAATAGTTATTATTAATTGCCATTGTATCATTGTTTTTTATTTTTTTATTGTGTTTTTAAATTTTTTTCTTTTTCTTTTCTTTTTGGCCTGAACAGCTAGAATAATTATTATTATTGCCATTTGTTTTATTGTTTTATTATTATTAAGTGCCATTTATTATTAGTTGCCCTTCGTTTCAATTATCTATTGCTGGTAACTAATCACCCCCCAGTATTTTTATTCATGGTAATGCAATCTGGGATGGGCTCAGCAGGGCAGCTGTTCTGCTGGTCTTGCCAGTGGTCATTCATGCCTGTTGTCTGCTGGTGAGTTGGACTTGGCTGGAACACCCGGGCTTGCTTTCTTTATGAAGCTTAGGACCTTTCTCTCCCCATGTGTTCTTCCCACATAGTTACTCCAGCTAGGTAGCCAGACTTCTTAAATGACAGTTCAAGTCTTCTAAGAGGGCAAAAGTGGAAGCTGTTAAGCC